CAGAAAAGATCAGCAACAGGGATCTCTGGCGATGAGCGAACCAACCCAGTTTGAACCGATTGTGAAGCAAATAGGCAGGAAGAAATGGGGGTGGGTTGGCCGTACTCTCAGGAAACAAACCATCAAGTGACATCACTAGACAGGCCATTACTCGAGTGGAACCCAAAAGGGAAGCGGCCAGTTGGTCGTCAATGCAAGGGTGACATGCAGGAGGTCATGTGAAGAGGAGATGAAAGTATGTGGACAGACCTGGCGCCAGGTGAAAACGCTGGCAGAGAACCAAACACAATGGAGACGTGCAGCTGAAGCCCTATGTTCCTCTAGGAATAAAAGGAAATAATAATAAGAAGAATTAAGGGTACATTGAAAAGGACATTTCCTGCCTCCAGATTGTTTCCACTTTGCAACACTGTGTGCTCGTTAATTTTGTTTTAAAAAAACAGATAAATATCCTGTTTATGTCAAATCCAACTGCATTTACCGATTCAGTTGCACTTACAGCAGATATTACCAATCACACAACTTGAGTTTGCATGGGCCCGACTAGTAAAGAAGATAGTGAATTCTTCGAGGAATAGTCCTGTACTTTTGAATTCACTTTTGAATGAGTTTATCTGAGAAGAGATGTTTGAGGTAAGTTTGAAGTAAAGTCTGCATTGAAAATGGTGAGAATCTTTTAAATCTCTTATTGATGGTGATACAGCCACACTGTATACCAGCCTTGCCAAACCAAATAAAGTTTGGTCAGTATGTCTGAACTATGGATTCTATGGATGGACGTGTTACTAGCACAAAAGGAAGGCGCGAAATGAAGTCCAAGCCTGTTCGGGATGCACAATCGTTAAGATAAAACTTAAAACACTTGTAGCAACCGAAGGTAATTTAGACGTTTATTTGAATTTTTAAATTTTATTATAGCTTGATTCCATACAGTATTTTGGTACAAGTATCAAATTTTCAGTATGTGATATCGGTAGCCCAAATTTAGCAGGCCGACCATAGATATCAGGTGTGCGTCGGCGGGGGATCGAACCTCGGACCATGTGCATGGTCAGCGAGAGTCCTAACCGCTGTTCCACCGACGCACATGAAGTTAGAATAAAGAAGGCACGAACATATTTCTAGGATAATACGAGTTCGTGTTATTTCGTGGATTCTCTTCAACTGCATACATCCTAAATAAATCAATTATAAGTTGTAAATTTCTGAACGTATACTTTACAATGATAATTATCCTACTCATGTCAACTCCGGATGCACTTACTAATTCACCTGCAGCAAGTACATGGGAAGGAGTCAGAAGACAGCGTCTGCTAGATTTTCTGATCATATACCTAAAAGTCTCCGTATTTAAGGCAGCCAAGTGTTCTTAAGTGCAATGACCAGCAGACACCTAGTTGACACGGGACATGTAGTGAGGCTTGCAAAATAATGAATACACAAAGAAAACTCTAGTTACTTCGGTTCACAGAAGCCATTGACATCAAAAGACTTCGACCTAACTTCTTTATAAAGAAAGCATGACTAATCTCTCACTACCCTGATAAGCGTAATTGTCTTGTTCGTGTGCTATTGTGTGTTTTTCCTTTTGCATAACATTCCGCTTAACGTTGATTATAATTTGCATTTACCGAGTTGAACTCACTATTAAGTTTCTAAATCTACTTAATTGTCAAGTATTGGTTTCGTAGGGATTTTGTTTGATAGCATGGAGAATTTAATCATGAGCTGACATCAGTTAGAGAACCATTGGAAAACCTCCGAGTACTGGACAGCTGTTTCGTCCTAGTTTGGGACTCTTCAGCTCATGATGAAATTCTCTATGCAATCAAACAAAATCCCTACAAAACCAAAACCTGAAAATTAATCTGATGCTCACTAGCGACTGGCCCTATTGAGGTAGTCAACCTGGGGTTCTAGTGGGAAGCCGTGACCAGTAGGGTACAGCAAGTTGAAGATGAGGCAGTAGCTCATCGAAGAAGACATTGCGAAATGGTCGCGCTAAGTCGTGAACTGGCAGAATTTAGAATTCAAGAACCATTGGATCGGGTCCCAGTGGCTCAATGGTCTACGAGCTCGCCTTGTAACCTGAAGGTCTTGGTTTCGAACCCCGGTAGGTGTGTAGTGCCGAAGAGTCCAAAGCCAGGACAAAACAGCTGTCCAGTACTCCCAGGTTTTCCGATGGTTCTCTAACTGATGTCAGCTCATGATGAAATTCTCCATGCAGTCTACTTAATTGTTTTGTCTATCTTATAATTTTACTTTACAATCCACTCCCATCCTCTTGAACTATCCAACATAATATGTGTAAATTCACACTGTTGTGTGATCTTGTATTTTGTCTCTAGTCAATCCTTGTTTCCAAGCCAAATCTGAACTCTGCTTTCCCCTCCTATCGAATTATACTGTAAATAGTTAGCCCATCTTTTAACACTGAATAATTTCAATGTAGCAAAAATATTCATTCAGACATCTATAAAACACAAAATAATTGAGCAAAGAATATTCTTTTCGATAAATTCCTCTTCCAGGCTCTACAATTATATATCTGTATGTTTATATACATAGAATATTCTAGATTAGTAGTCAATAACAATATTCGTTTTTTAAATAATATGGATTTGTTAAATAGGACCAATGCAATCACAGTTCATTAAAGATGGTTAAATTATAATAACAACAATAAAGATATATTAGCAAACAAAATATCAACTAAAATTAGGAAAATTCCACAATTTAACTGCTCCTATGGAACCAGTTACATAGGCCGTACAATTGGGCGTGTTTCTCGTCGAATTTCCGAACATCACCCTGTGTGTTTAAGTAAAGGACAAGCCAAATCTGTTCGTAGAGCTACTCTATTTCATCTTGTGGTTACAGAACACAAGATTGACGTTAATCATGCTTTCAGGGTCATTTACCGCATACCAAGGAATCTCAATTTTACCTTAATAGTTCGACTACTAAATATTGTTGAGGCTGGCCGTGTTGGGATCCATATTAACAAGCCTAATTTGTGCATCCAAAAGAAGTGAGTTCAGACATTATCCTTACCCGCTTGGTCATCTAGGGTTTGAATGATCCTAAATTCTTGTGGAATTTTCCTAATTTTAGGTGATATTCTATTAGCTACTATATCTTTATTATTATTATCATAATTTATGCATCTTTAATGAAATGTAATAGCATTGATCATACTTTACAAATCGATATTATTTAGAAAGCAAAATAATATTGTTACTGACTACTAATCTAGAATATTCTGTGTATATAAACATATATATATAATTGTAGAGCCGGAAGAGGAATTTATCGAAAAGGATATTCTTCTTTGCTCAATTATTTTGTGTTTTATAGATGTCTGAATAATCTGTCTACTTACATCATTTTTGGAATCATTTTTTTATACTTTCTACCTACAACTCGACGTCATTGTGAAAAGTATGTTCAGAAATTGTATAACTTATACTTTGATTTTCTTTAAGATGTATGCAGTTGAAGAGAGTCCACGAAATAAAACAAGCTCATTTCATCCTGCAAAAAATGTTTAAGTGTTGGTTTGTAGGGATTTGGTTGGTTACAGGATTTTCACTGTGAGCTGACATTAGTTAGAGAACCATTGGAAAACCTGGAAGTACTGGACAGCTGTTTCGTCCTATTTTGGGACTCTTCATATTTACACGCCCACTGGGATTCGGGTCGGGTGTGAGGACAAATACTCGCCGAAGACATTGGCTAGGGGTCGCGCTATGTCGTGAATTGGCAGAAGTTAGAATTCATGGGCTATTGGATCGGGTCCGAGTGGCTGAATGGTATACAAGCTCGCCTTGTAACCAGAAGGTCTTGGGTTCAAATCCCGGTGGGTGCTCATGATGAAAATCCTGTAAAAAAATGTTTGTTCCTTTTTATTCAATAACACTTGAATTTGATTAATCTGACGATATTCCAATCTCGCATTTACTTCGGCAAGTTTGACAGAGTGACGTAAAGAAACCTGTTGAGTTCCTTCACTGTCAATGGGTCCTTACTCTTTTTTAGGTCGTGGAAAATACCCATTAGGATATTCGTGTTCTCTTTTTTTTCTAATGTCCTAATCTGACGACAAACTAGTAAGCTTAAGATCTCTCTATCCACCTCAAACCAAACAAAAACGAAACTCGCATGACTTGAATTTTACATCAATCTTCAATTCATAATAAGTTTGGAAAAAAAAATGAATAAATAATCTTCAAGTATTGGTTTGGTAGGGATTTTGTTTGATTGTATGGAGGATTTCATCATGAGCTGACATCAGTTAGAGAACCACTGGAAAACCTGGGAGTACTGGACAGCTGTTTCGTCCTAGTTTGGGACTCTTCAGCAGTACGCACCCACCGGGATTCGAACCCAGGACCTTCTGGTTACAAGGCGAGCTCGTAGACCATTGAGCCACTGGGACCCGATCCAATGGTCCTTGAATTCTAACTTCTGCCAATTCACGACATAGCGCGACCATTTCGCAATGTCTTCTTAGATGAGTTACTGTCACATCTTCAACCTGCTGTACCCTACTGGTCACGGCTTCCCACTAGAACCCCAGGTTAACTGCCTGAATAGGGCCAGTCACTAGTGAGCATCAGATTAATTTTCAAGTATTGGTTTGGTAGGGATTTTGTTTGATTGTATGGAGGATTTCATCATGAGCTGACATCAGTTAGAGAACCACTGGAAAACCTGGGTCGCGCTATGTCGTGAATTGGCAGAAGTTAGAATTCAAGGACCATTGGATCGGGTCCCAGTGGCTCAATGGTCTACGAGCTCGCCTTGTAACCAGAAGGTCCTGGGTTCGAATCCCGGTGGGTGCGTACTGCTGAAGAGTCCCAAACTAGGACGAAACAGCTGTCCAGTACTCCCAGGTTTTCCAGTGGTTCTCTAACTGATGTCAGCTCATGATGAAATCCTCCATAGAATAAATAATCGTTTTTCAACATTGTTAAATCCAATAAAATTTTCAAACTCACTTGAAAAAGAATATCAGCAGAGTTAATCCAATCAATAAGAGAATGTCCAGTAGAGCAAAAACAATAGCTAAGCATATGATATATGGCTGTTGTTGTTGTTCATGTTGTTTACGACTACTATTATTCAATTGATGCTGACGATAATGATGACTCGCTCTATCCGATTTATTCAGGTCATCATCAGTTGAATCCAATTCATCAGTCGATGAATATAGGCTAAATTGAGAATAGAAACAAAAAGAGAGAGAGGGATAAAAAGTTAATGGGGATGTAGGGGTGGGGGCAGACATAAAGAAAAAGGTTTTGTGGAGAAGATGGAGAAGTTTGCCCTACTTTCATTTGCAATTGTTCATGCAGAAGACATCCATCTTTATAGTATATCCACTATGAATAGGCATACTGAGTATTTATTTAATAAAATTAGGTAGATTATGAGGAGAAAATGAGGAAAAACAACACATTAATCACTAGCTGTTTCCCTTCATCACTCTGACCAAAATTACACGATCTCAAAGCAATGCGTACTCAGAGAACGGACTTTACCCCCAGCCGATCTTACTATCTAGGCCTTAAACTTTTCCTTTTCCACAAGTTCGATCATCAGTTGACATTGAGAAACCAATTGTAGCCGCACAATCCGTTGTTATGTTTTCGTAATGTGCAAACTTGGATATTTGACGTTAAATTAAGAATTTTAACAGCTTTAGAGTTCTGATTGGTCGATGACAGTAAATTCCTTTTCATAGTCACATCTAGGTCATGGGCTTCATAGTTTAAAATATCGAAAAATTGCATTTTTCATGACAAATATTTCTCAAGATAACGAAGTACAACTCTGGGAAAAATATAAAATTGCCTTCCAGATTATATCTTTATTACTTCCTTGGGCTCCAAGTAGAACATAGGGCTTCAACAACACATCTTCACTTGGTTCTATTATCTGCCTTCCTCTTAAGCTGAGTCCACGTTCGCCCATGATCTCTCATCTCCTCCTCGCTGCACAATTCCCTCAATGTCACCCTTGCACTGACGACCCACTCATCACTTCTCATTGGGATTCCACTCAAGAAATGACCTGCACTACTCGCGATGTTATTCGACGGCCTCCCCCAAAGTATGTGCTATCCATCCATCTCCATCTTCTCCTACATATTTGTTGAGCAACCGGCTCTTGGTTGGTTTGTTCATCGCCAGCCAGAGTTTCTTGTTCCTGATTCTTTCTGGCCAGCCAACTGACCATTTGATCTTCAGTATGGAGCCAGCCAGTGAAGAGGGCAGCTTCTGATAAAATTCTGCACTGGCCTCTTGGAAATCCTTTTCGTGACATACGCGCAGTGCAAGTTTCTGACCCGTATAGACGAATTGACTGACTGACTTCACTGACATTCGTGTTGAAAATCCGAATCTTGTTGTTTATGTTGGCTGAGTGATTGTGAAAGATTCCCAGAGTGGTTTCAGGTTGATGAAGGCGTCTGTTTTGCCTTTCCATTTCTGGTTGGCTCACTGACTCTGACATATTCATCCGTCTCAACTGCTGCCTGTGGTTGAAACCGTGCTTCTTAGCCAGATAAGTGAGGGGAGGGAGTGAACTCTGTGAAAAATCTCTCCTGTTGATTGTGATTGGTGCTGGCTGTTGTTGTTGTTGCTTTTGGTGCGTGGTTATCTTCATCACCTTTTCAGATTATAAAGTGATATTTATTGATCTGAGAACAAAACACCTGCTTCTCAGTTCCTGAGTCTATTAAGCCTGTCACTTACAGTTGAAAAAACCCGCCAGTGTTCAAAACATTTAAAAAGAAACTTTTGAATGGTTTAAATGGATTAAAATTAAATGGATGGGAAAGTTCCAGAATAATTTCTGGTTAGGAGTTAAATTAATAAAAAATTAAAATTAGGAATTAGAATGCCAGAATAAACAGGGGGATGGGTAAAACTCAAACAAAGTATCATAATAACTGAGAAGATTGACACTGTGCAATTGGGGGTTAGAAATGTAAAAATAGCTGAGGCGTTAGCTATCCAAAAACTCAAACCCACACTTTGTATCCAAAAGAAATATGTCCAACCCCTGTCCCTGCCATGGCCATCGTAAACAGGTAAATTTTTTTTTAATAATGACCATCCCATCGCCTTTCTTATCTAAACTTCCTGTTTATTCATGTTATTTTAAGTTTTCTTAATCCCTGTCTACACTATCATATTTTCATATCCACACTTCCTGTTTATTTTGTCATTTTACTATTTCTACATATTTAATCCCTGATTGCATAAACAATTATTCATCACACTAGTTTTTCTTATCCAAACATCCTGTATATTTTGTTATTTATACATTTCTAACCCCCAATTGCACAATGTCAATCTTCTTAGTTATTATGCTACTTTGTTTGAGTTTTACCCATCCCCATGTTTATTCTGGCATTCTAATTCCTAATTGTAATTTTTTATTGATTAAAATTAAATTTAAACTGGAGTTGCAAATAAAAAAGCAATTTATCCATCAACTTACTTTGCAGTAGACTCCACCTGTTCACTTCCTCCACCGAAACACGGTGAACACATTGTCTTTTTTAATTTTCTCCTACTGTTTCTACCCCCAGCACCGACACCACCGCCAGCGCCGCTAGTACTCCCATTTCCACCATAAGCATCCCTCACTGAAGATGCATAATGTGTAGATGGTGGAAGAGCACAATAACCACCATGTAGAATATTTGGACTTCGATGAACTGGCAGTCTTATCGTGTGTTGTATATCTTGAATAGTACTAGCAGTTTCATGTTCATTCATCTGTTGACTCTGTTGGTGTTGTTGATGGGATTGTTGAGATTGTCCTTGGTGCTGTTGTTGTTGTTGCTGTTGAACTGGTAGACTAATTTTAGGCGGTGATAACACCAACGTCTGACCATAACCACGTGACCATGGTTGATCTAAACTACCCATACTATCAAATAATGGATTGGTGAGATTTCTTGATCCTTCACCAGTACCAATACGATTCAATCGATTCATTGTTTCAGCTCGACGTGTCTCTGCAACACTTTCACTTGTCAACAGTTGACTACGACTTTCTTCATCTGTATCTGTATTTGGAAAGTATAACGATGTTGATCTTGCTGCATAACGCATTGCAGATATACTTGAACGTCTTGCATTATCATTATTGAATGTGTTTAATGTTCTATTCGCTGGTAGAGTGTTCATTTTGTTTTCTTTTGTTTTTTTGTTTTTTGAGGGGTTATTGATTATTTTCTTGATATTTTAATGGCTACCTTCAAAAGAACCAGAGATATTATAAGTGGAAACAATATTATATATATATATATATTGTTAATTACATTGTGCATCGGTGGCACAGTGGTAGAATGCTCACCGACCACGCATGTATTCCTGGGTTCGATCCCCGGCCGGCGTACTCGTTTACCTTGCTAAGTCGGTGATAAGACTGGTAAAGAGGGAAGGTTGGGATATATGGCTAGCAACCCCATCCCTTAAAAGTAAGCACCACTGCTACCGAAACTTCAAATCTGTAGCTTGAAGCCATCCTATGTTCCAGTGGGAACGTGAAGGAATAAGAAAATGTACATTACGTGTATTCGTCTGCGTTTCCATTGGAACTTAGGACTTAAGGCTAGAGCTTTAAAGTTTCAGTAGCAGCGATGTTATATTTTTTTACGGGATGAGGTTGCTAGCCTCACTGCCGACCTTCCTTCTTTCCTGGACTCACTAGCGGCTAACCTAGGTAAAGGAGTGAGCTGGACAGGGATCACACCTTGGACCATTTACGTGATTGGTCAGTGTTTTCTACCAGTGGACCACTGACGTACATACATACTATGTACGAAATAATACTAAACTATAAGAATAGAACTTGTGCACTGTGGTAGAGTATAATTCCATTATAGGTAAAATTTATTTTGATAAAGTCTCACAGTGTTATACGGTAATATTTACTGATGACCACATTTCGAGCACAATTATTTACTCATGCCCAGTTGACCAAATTAGACAAAATAATATAATTCGCAAAATACCTTGCAGTAATTGTGAGTTAAGTATACTACATGGGTCAATCTAGAAGATCAGGAGTAGTCAGTTTGTCGGAACATAAGAATTTAGCGAAGGTTAGAATGATTAACCCCACGAAGATAAGTAATTTAGAAAAAAGCTCAACAACGGCACTACATGCATTAACAAACAACCACACAATAGGTTAGTGGGAGAGGGTTAAAATTCTAAGAAGTAATTTATGTAGGTGGAGAGAGAGATTGATTACTCAATCCTGGTTCATTGAATCTACACCCAACACATGCAACAGAAATGACTCAATGCAATCAGAGGAGGATAATAAATAATCTCAAAATTCTATTTCAATTCAAGCACATCACAACATTGTAACAAGTTACTTATTATGACTATAAAAACACTAGTCTTATTTCCCATCTGATTGTACTTGATTGATAACACTAATATTATTTCCGAATGTACATTATCACATATTGATTTTTATTCAAATATCTAGTCAATCCCACACATGTATATAAATGAAGGAAAAAGTTAATAATAATAATAATGATAATAATAATTTACTTTATTCAAAAAACAGTACTTGTGATACAGAATGGAATTTCCAGCATTAATCACAATATTGCATCTAATTTCCTCAAATTATAAATAAAATTAATCACACAGAAAATTTTTGTACATTTACAATAGGGTTAATATAAAAAAAAAATAAAAAACATGCAGCATATAAAGTGGAAATAATAATAATGATAGCAGCTAAGGTAATAAAAATAATAATAATACAAGTGAAAATTGCCGTCGGCTTGTTCCACACAGTATTGTCGATGCGGTATACAAATCCTTGCATGTTTAAAAATATTGAATATAATATTCTCTTTCCATGATATGGTGAAGGGAAAAACAAAGATTACAGCAGTCATAGAGGAGATAAGTTGGTGTTTGCAGTTATGAAAGTGAAAACAAAGAAGCAACAGGACCATAAATACAATAGAAATAATAGAAGTAAAACTTGAAGGTATATAAAGATGGATGGAGGAGATTGTTTATTTACTAGATGAAAAAAGGTTAGTCAATTCTTGCTTGACACTATTTTCATGACATAAAATACGTGCCAAGTATGGTATCATAGAATTTTTATACTTAGACCTGCGACCACACAGTGTTCTGAAGTTACTTCTTGTTCTACCTGAGGAGATGCAAGATGAAAGCTGAGGGTAAAGTGGATACTCCAAGTCAGACAAAATCCATTTAGCAAATTTATTCCACGAGGTCAAGTGCCTATCGGCAACGACGTTAACTATGTAGTCCACTGGGACACCACTCATCCTACTGACAGTCTTCAGCATTCTACGAATTGTGACAAAGTCCTTTTTAAGCAAACCAGGAAAGAATAAGGGTGAACAATAAAGAAGAATAGGTAGGATGCAAGAGTTTATGAACTCGAGTGCCTTAACTTCTTAATGTAAAATGTCAGGAGGAATATTTTACTGGGGATCGCTAAGACATGCGAAGACCAGGAGAGATCAGAAGAGAGAATAAGTCCAAGATACTTAATTTCTGATTTAATTCCTAAATCACTGTCGTCAATCTTACAAATGTCATGAGAATCGATGGCTTCTTTTAACTGTCGTTTACATCTTCAGCTGAAATTAACAGTTTGACATTTAGAAGGATTCAGTTTAAGATGGTTAGACTCAGACCATTTACTGACTCCCGACAGAAAGCTATTTATTTTGGTACAATCTAGCTGGGAGTTAACAGCCATTGAAACAATTAAATCATCAGCGTACTTCACAAAGTTTATTTCATCAGACTGAGGCAAGTCATGTAAGAAGAAAGAAAAAAGAAAAGGAGAAAGGACAGCGCCTTGAGGGACACCAGCTTCAGTAGGCAATGAAGTGGAAGACTTCCCTTTATACACGGCGTACTGCTTTCTTTAATAATAATAATAATTTGCTTTATTCCAAAACAGTACTTGTGATACAGAATGGAATTCTCAGCATTTTTACTACAGTATTGCATCCAGTTAGTACATTATCAATAAATAGAATTCTACATAGATTGAGGAAACCACAGTTCATTATTACAACAATACATTGGCATGTCAGTAGCAAAGGTAAAGCTGAAACAGTGTTTGAAGGTGTTAGAAAAGTGGGAGCTGTCTTACTAACTGGCGTAAGCGAGAGAAAGAGACAAAGCAGCACATAACGGAAAAAGAAGAGAGAGAAAAGGAAAAGAAAGAAAGAAAATGTTGTACCTATTGATGATGTGGGTTGGAAAGACGAGATCCAGTTGTACTACTGACTATTTAATGAATTATAGGTGTCACGCCTAATGCTTTCTTTATCACACAGAACACGAGCTAAGTAGGGTATGGTTGAGTTTTTGTACTTGCTAGTGCGAGCATATAGTTGCATTGAGGGGACTAAAATTGAAACTAAGTCTAATGCAAAATACCTCGGTCTAGTTCTATCTTCTGACCTTACTTGGACATCTCATATCCTAATGATTTCTAGGAAAGTGTTCTGTCTTACCTACTACATTAAGAAACTTAGACAATCCGGAATCACCAAACCTCTACTCTCACAATTTGTCAACTCTTGTATCCTACCTATTCTACTTTACTGCTCCCCGTTAGTCTTTCCTGGTCTACTGAAAAAGGACTATGCCATCCTGAGAAGGATGTTGACAGTAGTTAGTAGGACTAGTGGTGTTAATCTCAGTCAGCTCGTGACTACTTTAGTTGACAGGCATCTGAATACATGTGAAAAATGGTCTAAAACCATACTCTCAGACCCCCAACACCCCCTCTATTCCCAACTCTCTCCTTGTATCTCATCAAGTAAAACCAGAAATCAGTATAAAAGAATCTATGCTCGTACAACCAAGTACAGGAACTCAACGATACCATACTTGGCCCGTGTTCTAAGCGACAGAGACAATGTTAGGCGTGAAACCTGTGACTTGCTTTGTTATTAACAACATAATTTCATACTCTTTTATTTCTCTCTTATTTCGTATTCTTTAGTGAACTCCTTCTTCAAACTACTTAGCTACCTGAAATATTAACATTGGCTTCCTTTTTTGTACTTCACTATATTCCTTCTATTGTGTATCACTGGTTCCGACTATATTAGCACTATGAGTATTACAAAATTGTCGTGTCATTAACCATCATGTAATTATTAGTTTTGTGGTTGCTTTTCTTATTTTCTATACTTTTCGGCAATATTAAACTGACAATCATTGTTTGTGAATGCCATAGTCACCACCTCAAAAATTTTGTATTATTCAGGATTACTCACACTACCACCACAAACACTGCATTAGACCTTGGTAAACTTTGGTACTTTTTCGCATTCATAATTATTTTGTGTTTATCCTGTTGTTTTTTTTGTTTAATACTTACTTTAAACGTCGGTAAAATTAGATGCAAATATTGTAGATATGTGCTGAAAATTCCACACTGTACCACTGTACTGTTTCTGGAATAAAGCAAATTATTATTATTATTATATTGGCTTCTGGTTTTACCTGATGAGATGCAAGGGGAGAGTTGTGAGTGAAGAGGGTGGTGTGAGTTAGATAAAATGGATTTGGCCCATTTTTCACATGAGTCCATGTGCCTGTCAACCAGGATATTAACAAGCTGGTTAAGTGGCGCGTTGCTTACCCTGCTGACAACCTTTAACATCCTGCGTAATATGTTATAGTCTTTCTTCAGTAGCCCGGGAAAAACTAAGACCGGGGAACAATAGAGAATAATAGGCAGGATGCGAGAATTAACGAATTGTAGGAGTAATGGTTGGGTAATACCAGAATGTTTTAACTTCTTGATGTAGAAGGTAAGACGGAATATTTTCTTAGAAATTGCTAAGATATGAGACGACCAGGAGAGATCAGCAGATAGAATGACACCTAGGTATTTAATTTCCGACTTGGTTTCTATTTCAGTGCCATCTATGTTGCATACCTCGTGAGAGCCAACCAGTTTGTTCAGGTCGGATTTATGCCTAAAGTTGAAATTGACTGTTTGGCATTTGGAGGGGTTTAGAGTAAGACCATTTTCCTTGGACCACTGACTGATTTCTGACAGAAAGCCATTAAGTTTAGAGCAGTCGCTTTGACATTTGATAGGCAAAGATACGGACAGATTCTGAGAAATAAGAATGTAACCAGTTAACAGCTCAACATTCTGTTTG